GCGCAGCTTACTGGAGCCCGAGTACTGCAGTATCGCAGTAAAACAACAACTCACCCGCTTAAACACCCGTGCTTCCAGAAAGGGACGGAGTCTACTGTGGGCTGTATGTGCCTACACAAGGCTCGAAGACAGTGGAGGTGGTCATCTCATGTCACAGCACTTTAAAAAGAATAAATAAAATCAGAAATGACAGTAGCAAATCAAACTGGAAGAATCCTGCTGATTAGCTGGCACATCAGATACAACACGACTCATCACAGAATTCAGTTGGGTAAACGGCAAAGAGCCATCATCATTATGCCAGCAAGCAGTTCCCTGCCTGTGGTCAGAACCGTGCAATTTTTTCCAGGTATCAAACACAAGGGGATTTGTTAAATTGGTCTCAAGAGATGCACTTGTGTAAGTCAAAGCAGAACCTTGGTTTTAACTGTTAAGCACAGAATCGGTTCGGTATAGCCAGGGACGAGAGGAAAAAAGCGCTCTCCGGGCACAAAACTGCAGGCCCCTCCCGGTTGTCACATCCAAGCCCCAGATGCCAAGTGTCTTTCTAAAAGTAAAGCTCACTGTCCTGGTCACTTCTCCCTCTGGAACACAACAGAATTCCAACAGACAGACACAGCCAAGTGCCAGTGGGGGTGGTGACTGGAGCACACTGTTCTTCACTTCCAACTAGCATCTGTTAATTCTTCAAAGCAGAAGCCTTGTTTCTCTCCCCAGTTACCAACTAGATGCTCTGATACTATTACAAACCTCTCCCCTCCAATTCTTTCACGATTCTTGGGTTGCACCTGCTTCATTCTGGGGAGCAGGTCCTAGAGGTTTTGTAGCTGTCGTAATACCTTTTGTTAGAATTTCAACCTCTTAACGCTACATGCAAACAAAACATATCCTCCTTGTTCCATCTGTAAGAGAATTTACAAGCCATAAAACAGAATCAGAAATGTAGATCTAGATTTCAGGAGGCTTTCCTCAACATTTTTAAGAACAGTCAGAAAAAATTACCTCCGTAGCGCCAGAATTCACGTGATGTCTTTCTGCTTGCAAGGCAACAGCGTGGCAGAGTCCAGATCGAAGATTCCCGATGCCAGGAACAAACTCATCTCTTAACTTCACTCACTGCCTAAAACAATGAAAAGAGATAAAAAATGTCTGATTCGGAGAACTCCGCTGCTGAGCCAGTAGCGGAAAGCATCGATATTCCCTTGGGGAAAGTAAGCCTGTCAAAGAAACATCAACCTACGGGGCAACCTCGCTGCTGGCTGGACGCGAGTACAGATGGCACCAGCTGGGACCAAGGTTAAGCAGAGGCACAGCCACTGTACTGAAACTGAGCTCCAGGATGGAGAACGACTGATTGGAGGGCCATTACGCTGCTCCTAATGAGCAGCCACCGCTGGGGAGAGGAGTAACCCCACAGGGCACAGCCTGTAACCCCGGTTCACGTGCTGCGCTCAGGGGAACTCGCCGACATGTTCTCTCGTGGGCTGAAGGAAGGCCAGCAGCCGCACAACGGTCCTGGCATTGCCGGAGAGCATTGCCGCAGGGACAGCCGAGAGCCCCGGAGCCCTGTCCCCGCCAGAGCCCACCGCTTTGGATCGGCGCCTACAACCCAAAAGGGGCACAGTCGGGGTCACCATACGACGCTTGCCAAATTCCCCCAAGGATAAAAGAGGTAATTTATCTTTGGAATTAGGACATGGCATTTGCCAATGGAAGTGATTTATCGGCAGAACCAAGTCTCTGGATGTCCCAGCTGTCACTCCTTTGAAGACCTGATGAGCCAAGAGACAAGGTAAGCGCCGCAGCTCGCCCGTGGAGTGGCGGATGCGAATTAGGCCCCTCTCGGCCCTAATACCTGGAAAGCCCGCGGGGCCAGCGGGCGTCAGCCTGAGCCCA